GCGCACTTCCCCCTGTCACGCTGATCCCAGTGCCGGGAGGCCTCACGGCTCCACTGATCCAAGTGCTGGGAGGCATATTATCCTTTTACTACATAGCATAGAGGCCTGGTGCACGGGTGGGGGCCGGCTGGTTTGCCCTGAAGGGTGTACTGGATCAGGGTGGGGGTCCTGCTTGGGTGCCTGGCCAGCCTGGGTGAGGGGATAATGGCTGTTTGCAGCTGGTCACACCCCCTTCAGGGTGGGGGTCCCCACTGGGGTGCCTGGCCAGTTTGGGTGAGGGGCTGAGGGCTGTTTTCAGGCTGTCAGGTGACTGAAGCTCCCATTTTTTTTCTTTTTTCTTTTCTTTCTTTTTTTATTCTGGGCCAGCTTTAGCTTTGAGGCTTGGCTCCAGCTCTTAGGCCTTCGCTGCTGAAAGTAGGTTTCTGGCCTTTGTTTACAATGTTGCAATCATGCTGGTTGAAGCCGGGACTAAATCTGGTTTCTGGGGTTTTTTTTAGCTTCTATATTTGTTACAATGTACAAGCTGCAGGCTCAAAGGCCTGCAGCGGCAGGCGGGGAACGTTGGTTTCCTCCGTCACTGAAGGAAGCAAGCCTCATGTTAGTTTCAAGCTGCCTGGCTGCCAGCCGCCATCTTGGCTAACAGTTAATTTGCATATCTCGCTGATTAGCCAATGGGAAGGGTAGCGGTTGTACGCCAATTACATGTTTCTCTTTTATTAGATAAAGGATTACATTTGTGAAAATTAGCAGAAGAGTTTATAAAAACAGTTCTGTCAGGACTTCCCAAAAATGATGGAATGTACAGTAAAAATAAAATTTTCTTATTGAAATACTATGGAAACCTTATTCTATAGTTTATGAATTTAGAGTTTGTGATTCCTTAAAATGGTATTAAAATAAGATATAATTTTGCAATATGCTTGAAACATTTAACAATAAAATTTGAATTAGAGTTTATACATTAAAAGCAATGCTTACATCTTAAGAATGTTTCCTGGGTATATACTTTAATGAAAGTGTAGTAAACTTGAGACAATTCCTCTAATCACTGCATGTAAATTATATGTAAATTAAGTTATTTTTTTTCTAACTTAAAGAACCTACTATTATAAATAGCCTTTAAAGACTTTATTTAAAAAAAAACACAAACAAACCAAAACCCACTTTACTATGAAAGCAATTCTATAAAGCAAGCACCAGTTATCCTTGGTAGTGAAATCTCTAAGCTCCAATTCCATCATCTATAAGTGATTTTAGAGATTGGTTGACCACTTAAGTCCTTTCAAGTTCTAAAATGCTATGAGTCCATAAATGTAATAAAATGGTTAAATACCATTTTAATTCAGTTTACTAAGACATTAGTAAGTTTTTAATTCAATGTACTATGTACTGTTCATCAAAATCAGTTTTTATGGTAAAAAAAATGCTAGGCACCACACTTAATGGCCTTGAAACAATCTTCATATAATAAGATTATGAGAAAATATTAAATAACCACCATAAACAAAAATATTCAAGAATGTGTAAAGATCAAAGTTAAATGCATTTACTTTTACATATAAATGATATTTTATATAAATTTATTTCTGAAATTTAAGAGTTTGCAGATAAGATTTTATATATTTTCTAACAATATAATTAAATTCTGGAGGAGGAACATTTGGTGGTTTAGATAATGTCTAGATAAAATCACTACTTAAAACTAATTTTAATTAAAATATGCAACACCATGTCTTTTGACTGAAATATTTCTGAATTGAAAAATAACTAAAATTTCTGAGACATAAAGAAATGTAAAGCTATTTACCTACAGATACTGCAATTCCTATGTAAACCACCGTAGTGATTAAAATGGCTAAGAGTGTTCCTTTGGGTATGGCTGACTGAGGATCCTAGAAGACAAGAAGATTTTTTTTTAAGTATACCTTTAAAAATAAATACATGTATACCATTTTTAATATATAATCAATATAGTGCTTTCTAATATAAATCAATACAGTACTTACTGCAAGATCACCGGAGATATTTGCTCCAGCCAGAATACCAGTTGCAGCAGGAAAAAAGATAGCAAAGACAGAAAAAAAAGTCTCTTCCTCTCGAAAATCTGGTCCAAAGTTCTCATTAAATATTTCAGCTGTAGAGAACAAAACATTTTTTGTAATTAATAGGTAGATTAGACCGTAATAATTAGGTCAGGAGTAAGTGGTATGCATGAACCCTGACATTTCTTCAGTTCAAGTAACTGATAAACTCTTGAATATTTCTTAATTCACACCTAATTCTTTTCTTATATGAGGGAACAGTATATACCAAAATGATGATTTGACCTGGGACATTTCCTACTATTTTGTGTACCTTCATAATCAAGTTTTGAGCACCTCTAACTTGATTATTAACGCTGGTCCAAATGTAAATCAAAGCGTGGATAAATCCCTCAATCTCAGAGGTCAAAGAAATAAGAAAGGAGGTAGGAAAACAAAGTAACATCATACTAATCTGGAACCTTTTTTTTTTTTTAACATTCAACATAAATACTATCTGTACAGTTTTCTCTATTTTGTAGTGATAACTTGTTTGATTTTTGAGGCTATTTTTGTGTCTTCCAAATAATTTTAGCGTAAGCAAATTAGGTAAAGGTCCTTTCCATTTCAACAATAATGAAAGCTTCAACTAATCCTACTGTTTCCATCTATTCTGATAGGTCCTGACACTAAACCAATTAACAGTCATTTATTCATCCCTTCACCCATCCTTGAGCATCACTGTGTCAAGCCCTTACTGGAGCCATCTAGTTATATCAAGAAATAGAATAGCAAAAAACTAGACATTGTTCCCACCTTTATGGAACTTAAGAATCCCAATTGGGAGCTACACAGTCAGTAAAGAAGCAAGTCATTACAAATAGCAGTAAGTAGACTGATGGAAACAGGATGCTGTGATAAAGAATGAGAGAACCTAATTCAGTGTGGTTACAGAAGGCTAAAGGATGTAACTATGGAAACAATACTTAAAAAGATACTTTACTGAGCAAGAATCAGCCAGGTGATGATTAGGGAAAATATTACACCAGCAATAAGAAATGACATTTATAAAGGCCCAAAGGTAGGAAAAAGGCTTAGCTCTTTGAGGAATTAAAAGAATGTAAAGCTCTTATCATAGTAACATGGAGAATAAAATTAGGTTGGTAAAATCAGTGGGGGTGAGACTATGCAAAATTTTATTTTATCCTAAATATAATGAAAAGCTAAGGTAGGCTAAGAAACATGCAAATGATATGATGTTACTAAGGCTTGTGTGGATGCTGTGTGGATAATGGACCAATGGCATCAACATCTGAAGCAGGAAGACCCACTAGGAGTTTACTCCAATGGTTCAATCTATGAGGGGAGAATAATATAGAGGAAGATTAGGAAGTAAAGGGGCAGGTAGGGAACATTGAGATCCAGGCTTTTTCCACATACTGTACTCAAATGTTAAAGTCTGAAAAGGATTGTGTAGGAGAGACATCATCTAAGTAGTTATGTATACCCAGAATTTAAAAAGAGAAATCCAGGAATAAAAACATGTCAGTCTCTTAATAGCATTTGGAGCCATGAGAATAGACCTCACCAAAGGAAAGAATACAATTAGAAGGCCCAGGACCAAACCTGTGCAATTGACATTTAGAGAGTAGGAAGAGAAGGGGGTAAAAGGAGTAATAGAGAGTGACAATGTGACATCAAAACAAGAAAAGTATTTCAAGGAGAATGAGACAACTAAGTGTAATGCTGCTGGGAAGCAGAGGACTAAAATACTGCACACTGGATCTAGTACCATGTGGTTGTCACCTTGACAGACGGAAATCAGATAAGGATTTAATGAAGGAAATAAAAACATTTGGTAAAAGTCTGATGGGAAGTAGGCTATGCAGTCTCCAAGTATCCTACAACATATTATTACTTAACTAGAGGCCTGCTGCACAAAATTTGTGCATGGGGGGGTGGGGGAGGAGAGGAGCACTGTCCCTCAGCCCGTCCTGCACTCGCTCCAATCCAGGACCCCTCAGGGGATATCTGACTGTCTCTCACAATCCAGGACTGCTGGCTCCTAATGCTCGCCTGCCTGCCTGATCGTCCCTAACTGCTCCCCTGCTGGCCTGATCACCCACACCCAGGACCCAGGATTCCCTCCTCAGGCCAGTCGCAGGCATCCAGGACCCAGGCCAGTTTCTCCTGGGCTGGCTGCAGCCACAGGGGACTGTGAGTAGGTGGCTTCACCTGGGCCACAGCCGCAGATGCCCGGGACCACGTGGCAGGTGCCTGTCCCTCTCCCAGGCCACAGCCTGGTTGGTTCTCATTCCTCTCTCGCGAGCTCATTTGTGCCTGGGTGATCCCCAATCCTCTCTCCCCAGTGTTGAGTGTCTGAGCCGTTATGGCTTAAGGGCATTACGACCATTTGCATATTAGTTCTTTATTATATAGGATTACAAAGAAGAAAATGGCAATCTCACAATAAAGAAACCTCTCAGATACCACTTTGACTAAGTCACCAAAGTTAAAACCATCACTGACAGGGAAAAAAAGATGTGTCTCCTAATGTGATGCATTACATATCGTTCATGCTATTTTCCTGGCAAAAACAAATAACCTGAATCTATGAAAATAAATCAGATGAATCCACTGGAGTGAGTTCTACAAAACAAATGGCCTATATTCTTGAGAAATGTCACTATCACGAAAAACAAAGGCTAAGGAGCTGTTTCAGGTTCAAGGAGACTGAAGATTATGTAAAGAACCATTTTAAAAAAAAAGAGACATGACAACTCAATGCAATACATAACCATTCACTGGCTCCTGGTCCGAGCTGGTGTTGCTCAGTGGTAAGAGTGTTGGACCATGCACTGAAGGGTCTCAGGTTTGATTTCTGGTCAAGGGCAAATACTTGGTTTGCAGGTTCCATCCCAGCCTGGGTAGGGACACATGTGGGAGACAACCAATCAATGTGTCTCTCTCATGTCCATGCTTCTCTCTCTCCACCTCCTTTCCTCCCTTTTCTTCCCCTTCCCTCCCTCCCTCTCTGAAAATCAATGGAAAAGATAACCTTGGGTGAGGATTAGCAAAAAAAAAATTTTTTTTTTAGAGAAGTGGATCCTGGAACAGTAAAAGAAAAGGGGCGGGGGGAGCTACTATAAAGATTTTTATAGAAACAATTGGAAAATTTTGTATACAACCCATATATTAGATATTAGCATTGTGCCAAAGTTAAACTTCTTGAATTGTCCTTTTCCTTAGAAGATACATGCTTACGTACAATGTTTAGAGGTAAGTCATGATTTCTGCAACTTCTCTTAAAAGTTTTAGCCATCATAGTAGTAATGAACAGATACATATGAAGTAATAAAACAAATGTGGCAGAGACAATATAAAACCATTCATCATTAGTGAATCTAGATGAAGGATATAAGGAATTCATTGTATCAATTTTCCAAGTTCTCTGTAAGTTTGACATTATTCTGGAATAATACATAAGTGAGAAGTTTGTCTATGAAAGGGAACTGGAAAATGAGGTGGTAACTAGAGGAGAATAAAAGACGAGATAGCATTTCAAGGATGAGAATTACTAGATCAAGTTCATAAGCATTATAGAGGTGAGAGTTTTGAAACAAGGAAGTGAGAGTCAATTATCTATACTAATAAAAGGGTAATATCCTAATTAGACCATGTCGACCGGACATCTTCCAGTCGTCCTGCCTTCCTTCCGGACAAAGCCATGGTGGTGGGGGGCAAGGCAGAGGTGGATAGGGGCAGTCAGGCTGGCAGGGAGAGCAGTTAGGGGTGATCAGGCCAGCAGGCAGGTGAATGGTTAGGGGCCAGCGGTCCCGGATTGCGAGAGGGATGTCCTACTGCCAGTTTAGTGGGATCAGGCCTAAACCGGCAATCGGACATCCCCTGAGGGGTCCCAGATTGGAGAGAGTGCAGGCTGGGCTGAGGGACCCTTTCCACTCCCCCCACACCATGCATGAATTTTGTGCACCAGGCCTCTAGTAAAAGGATAAATGCCTTTGAGAAAGTAAAATAGGATCCAGAATAGAGCAGAGGCACTGGAGAGAGACTTCTCGTTTCAGAAAGAAAAAGAGGAAAAATGAATCCCCCTACTAGGTAGTCATTTGAACTGACAAGTTTATCAATATAACCTGTTTACTGCCAACACTGCCTTAGTATAACAAGAGGAAAACCAAGAGGTATCAACCACCACAAAAAGAAAAGTCACATTCCAAAGTATATTTAGATTTATTTATCTCAGACTGAAATAGGCCCAGATGTGCTATTTAAACATAATATAATTATTATTCTAGCTAACTGTGTGATATTTCTATAAGTGGCCAAATTTCTGAAAATAAGGAAATGAAAAATGTGGCCTAGAAAATATACTTAAATTAATTAAAGTCATAAACAGAAATATATTAATTATTAGGAATATTTTAAGTAATCATTCACTATAACTCTTAGTATTTCCTTTAGAAAAAAAGTGACAAAAACTAATGTTCAGAAACATACATAATAATATAATAAAACATGTAAAAATCATTCATAATTAGATAATTTATGAGAGCATAAAGTAATGAAAGTTACCTACCTAACTAATGTTGCAAACTTTTACTCCTGGAATGCTTAGTAGACACCTCTTCCCCCAATCCAGGAAATCAGGAATTTAATGCCCAGTTTAGAAGGTGGCAAGAGCACAAGTAGTCAGACAAAAATCACACTATCAACCCAGGACCAGTAGGCACAAATAATGGGCAAGGTCCTTGAAACAATTCATATCAGAAAAATGCCCATCCAATTAAGCCAGAGTCTGATATAGACTAAACCAGTTTTATTCACATATGATCCAAGGACTATATGTTGTTACCAGTCAGCAATAAGATGCAGGAGAGCCTGGCCTTTTCCTCTAGGCAGTGGTTCTCAACCTTCTGGCCCTTTAAATACAGTTCCTCATGTTGTGACCCAACCATAAAATTATTTTCGTTGCTACTTCATAACTGTAATGTTGCTACTGTTATGAATCGTAATGTAAATATCTGATACGCAGGATGGTCTTGGCGACCCCTGTGAAAGGGTCGTTCGACCGCCAAAGGGGTCGCGACCCACAGGTTGAGAACCACTGCCTAGTGCTTTGTCAACTGAAAACAGACAGGTTTGTAACCCAAAGTAATAAGCTTCTCTGATGCTACTGCAACTATTCTTTCCCACTTTCATTTTATTTTGTGTAGATAGGTTCAGAATTGCTCATTTAAGTGGGGAGAAGATAAGGACTGGGGTAGGGAGTAAGGGTGGGGGCTGGGAGATACAGATAGACCCTTTAGGAAAAAATAACAATTAAATTTCACCATTAGTGACAATTAGATGTGGAATGAAAAGGGTTATAGAAGACAAAAACTGGGAAATTCTCACACATTTAATAATGCAGCCCAGACAGTGTGGCTCAGTGGTTGAGCATTGACCTAGGAACCAGGAGGTCACAGTTTGATTCCTGGTCAGTGCACATGCCCAGATTGCAGGCTCAATCCCCAGTGTGGGGCATACAGGAGGCAGCTGATCAATGATTCTCATCATTGATGTTTCTATCTCTCTCTCCCCCTTTCTCTTCCTCTCTAAAATCAATAAAAATATATTTAAAAACAATAATACTGCAAATTGTAGAAAAACTTAAAAACTGAAATTACACAGAAACTGAATTTCTAGTTACTTTCAGTCTCAGACACTTTTAGACTGTTGTGCTAAAATACAACTAAAATAATGAAAAAGTCAACATCAGAACAAGTTACCTTTCACTTACAAATTCCCAAAATTGGTGAGAACTAAAGCAGCTTTTTTCAGTAGCACTGATTTTTTTTTTACATTCTATTACCTTTTGTTGCTAATAATGAAAAGGAAAGATACAAATAAAAATGATTTTTTAACTCCAATTGTAACCATCTTAAGTATACAAAACTAAATTGAATTGCCAATTAGTGAATTATTATACCAAACTTACTTACATTACAAAATATCTAAAATGTACTAAATTTACTAATAGAATGGTATAATATACACCTTTAAAATTATTCTAGCTTTTTTACTTACATTTATAACCAAAGAAACCTTTGGGTTTCTTGCTCTCCAATGGGATAAATGTTCCTATGACGAAATCAGCAATAGCAAGTAGGAGAATCACCAAAAGAACAATCTGAGCCTGAAATTTTAAACATTAAAAATAAAAATCAAATCTCTTATGTTGTACATTCAGTTCCATTAGAATACAACTTCCATGGGGGAAAGGATTTCTGTCTTGTTTCCTCAGAGCATCAAACAATGCTAAGCACAGGGTAGGCACCCCATAAAAAAAATGATGGCAGAAGTAGAATGATGCCATATATTTTGAAATTTATTAATGATGCACATGCCTTCCCACAAATCATAAGACACTATAAATTCCAAAACACCATAGGCTTTTCATTCTGTGCATCATTCTTTCCTGTCCCCTCCACCATACAGTACAACATATTTGCTAAAAACCCAAGTTTTATACCAAGTCCAAACACAATGTTGAATGTGTGACAGTGATATGAAAATAAGGAAAAGTATAAAAAGAAGACAACACCCAGGAGGGGAATTCAAGTAGCAGTGGGACTGGAAGAAAGGAATAATCCATGCGAACTACCATCTCTCCTCTTCCACTTTTTTTGTTTTGTTTTATTGGATATAAGAGATATATAACAATATATTAGTTTCAGGTATATAACATAATGATCTGATATTTCTATATATTGCAAAATGATCATTATAAGAAGTTCTATCCATCACTATACATTTTTTTATTTATACATTTATAGTTATACATTTTTTTTCAGTGATGAGAACTCTTAAGATACACTCTTTTTAACAACTGTCAAGTATACAATAGAGTATTATTAACTACTAGAGGCCCAGTGCATGAAAATTCATGCACTTTAGGGGGGATTCCCTCAGCCTGGCCTGCCCCCTCACAGTCCAGGAGCCTTCAGGCGTGGGAGGCAACCCGGTGATCAGGGGAAGGCGATGCCCCCATCACACTTCTGCTGCTGCTGCTACCAGCAGTGCAAGCCTCCGCCAGCCCTGGTTACTTGAGCCTTAGGCAGCCCTGGGCAGCTGGGCAGCTGGGCAGCCGCCATCAAAGGCTTGCCTGTGCCTTGGGCCAGCCCTGGGCGGCTGGGGAGCTGAGGGGTCTGGGGGACTCTGGAGGCAGGCAAGCAGCAAAGCCGGAGGGCTGAGGGGACTGGGTGCCACCATCTTTGAGTGCGTGCCAGTCAATTAGCATATTCCCTCCTTATTGGCTGTGGGCACTGCCATCTTTGAGGGCATGACAGTCAATTAGCATATTCCCTCCTTTTGGGCTATAGTCACTGCCATTTTTGCCATAGCATGAGGGTCAATCAGGATATTCCCTCTTTATTAGATAGGATTGTCACCATGGCTGAACATTACATCCATGACTTACTAATTTTTCACTGCAAGTCTGTACCTTTGACCCCTTTCACCCATTTTGCCCACCCCACCTCTTCTTCTCCACTCTTAACCTCCCTATAACACTGGGCAGATGCTCATGAAAAACTGAGCCATCTGTGGGAATAAGGACCACTTAAATTGTTGTATGAAATTCTTTTCAGTAAAGTCAATTTGTTAAATGTATAAGTAAATGATTTAATTTTATACTAATGACTTACCTACCAGGGAAAAATTATTCTTTCAGACTTTGCTAATTCTTGATCTGATAAATATTATCATAGCTCATATACAATACAAATATGTGATTTTATACAATCTATAAACACGAACCTGAAGTGACTTTGAGATGCTCAGTAGTATCTTTGTAGATATGCATTATTCAGGAAACAAGAGCTGTACTATGGCATAGTCCCTCAAAGATACAGAAATATATGTATTTGGGTGCTTTGCCCATATATTAACACGTGAATTCAGCAGTTCCCCCAACCCCAAAAACAATGGTACCTGTTTGGGTAGTCATGATTTCTGAGATTTCAAAAGCAAGGAAGATTATCTTCTCTAATCCCTAATGGCACTAACTTGAAGTTTACTGCCCCTATGTTTATTTTTTAAATTGAACTTTTAAATAAATTATAAAGCCTGCAGTTTAATTTAAGTCATACAGTAGGGGCTGGAGGAGAGGTAGGAAGTAAAATATTTTTAAAATACTGTGTTTAACTAGATCCTGAACTGATGGCTATCTTCAAATATCCCCTGTCTTGTCAATTAGAAAATAACCCTATACATAAATTTCCCTGAAAAAGGCCACTTAGGAACTTTTAAAATCTAAAAATGTTACCACAGTTTAATGCATTCTTAAAATAAAAGCTTTTAAAGTTCATATATTAAATATTTACCGATATTCCAGTGATATCATTACTTACTTTTGCTTCCCACTCCATTCCAGCTACTGAGATACCTAAAAGGATCACCACAGTAATGGCTCCGATAATTCGGATATCATTAATTTCATCTATCATAAGAATAGAATGCTCCTAGAAAAAGAAAATTATAAATAAGCAATATTAGTTCTTTTAGATAGTCTTTATTTCTTTTGAAACATTTTAGAGATACCACAGTGCCTTACATGTAGGTGAATAAATGCCTATTTAACAAATGAATAGGAAGACCAATGAAAAACGAATATTTACTATTGATGTGTCATTCAAGTATATGACATCAAGAATATGATTAAATTAATAATGCTATATTTAATCAGATGTATATCAAAAAGGGAATTGCTGACAATAAAAAATCATATAACTAGTTTTAATAGAATGTTCTTAAGGTACATAGCAGAAATATTTTGCATTCGTTTTTATTAGTGAAGTCAAGCTTTAAATATCTTTTAGTTTGCATAAAAGGAGGTGAATATACTTTCATGCGGTAATCCAAAACACTGTTCCTATTCTATAAGCAAAAAAGTATTTGTGATTGAGTATCAATGAAATTAGAAACATATACTAAATTAAACAATGAAAGAACATGAACTCTTATTGATTATATTGCTTGCTTGCTTGCTTACAGCCCTACCTTTCATTCATCCATTTAGCCTACATGAATGAGGGCAATGCCAATGTAAATGTCAGTGTTTTCAGATTTTACATATCCTAATGTACCACATACTACTGCAGAAAAAGAGTTACAATAGCCCTGACATGAACAACTGTGTCAGCTGAGGTTCCTATCATTTAACAATATTAAATCCTATTTCTCTTCTGCTTTAACTCAACACATCCTAATGACTCTTTCCAAACAAGTTCTCTTGTAAATTTCAGAGCAGTATATCAACTACTTTCTGGCCAGCTTTACTTAGATACACCTCTGGTTCCTCAAATTAGACCCGAAAATTAAATTGTCCTATGTTCTCTATCTCACGTGAATGGTTTTACATTCTGTCTAAATCCCCAACTCAGAAATTTGTGTATAAACTGGAAATCCTTCTTTCTCTTTAGTCTCCTTCATCCCATTAATCATCAATTCACTTATTCAACATTTTTTAAATCTGTCAAATTCACCTACACCTCCCCAGCCCCACTCATCATTGTTTTAATATAAGCCACACCTCCTCTCCCAGGATAACTACAACAACCTTTTAAATGGTCTCAATCTCCCATTGTGATCACTCAATCCAATCTCTACTCCGTGATCAGATATTTATTTAGGTCACGTCATGATAATCTGATCATGTCATGATCCCCCCTCTCCCCCAGTCCAATCTAGATAAGATCTATTTTAATAGCAAACAAGACCCTTTCTGACTTGATACTTTTTCCTTTCTCTAGTCTTAAAACTCTTGCCACTTTGTACTCATCATACAGAAATATAGTGGGGGTTTTTTAACCCACCATACTCCACCCTTCTAGGTCTGTTTCCTTTTCTTCACTGTTCCCCCCATTCCACATCCCCACTCTCCTATCTGCATGCTGAAGCCTAGACTCCCTTCCTTGACACTCCTCTGCGACCCCCATTTCTGGATGGTAAGTAAAGTGATCCTCCTTTGTGTTGCCAAGGTCCCATTTCTGACATTCTATAATGATTTTCCTTTGTGTACCTCACACACTGAACTTCTTGAAGGATGAGTTTTGTGTTCATCACTGCTTTCCTAGCATCTAACATGGGGAGTGGCATATAGGCCCTCAATAAAGATTTGGGAAACAAATGACTAGAAGAAAGGTGAATTACCTTAAGTAACTCCACCACAGTTTCTGCAAATCCAACCACATACATAGCAACTGCAACAGCATTGGCAAAAGCAAATATCAGGCCAATTGCACCACCAAATTCTGGCCCTAGACTTCTAGATATTAAATAATATGCTCCTCCTAAAGAAAAGGGAAAAAAAGAATAGTACTAAAGTTAGTATTTTAAATGTCCTCCTCCAGTGAGGGGGGTCGCTCTCCCGGGGGGGGGGGGGGGGGGGGGGGGAGGGGTGTGTGTGTGTGTGTGTGTGTGAGTGCAGCTAGAATAAATCAATGGGGGGGGAGGGGGGCAAAGAGGACATCTGTAATACTTTCAACAATAAAGATGAAAAAAATTGTCCTCCTCTATAATCAGCTGAAGGCCTGAATAGAACAAAGACAGACCTTCCCCAAGGAAGAAGGAAATCTGCAGCAGATAATCTTCAGACTTGGAACTACATCATCAGCTCTTCTCTGGGCCTACAGACAGCAAACCCACTGCAGGTTTTGGACTTCCCAGACTCTATAATAATGGGAATTACTTCCTTCAAATAAATCTACACACACACACACACACACACACACGGTTCTGTTTCTCTGAAGAAGGCTTATACAGACATGTTACAAGATAAATATATAAAAATCCACCATTTTCCCACGTACTAGCAATGAACAATTAGAAACTGAAGTTTTAAAAAGTAACCTATTTACAACAGTACTCAAAGACTGGAAATACTTAAGTCTAAATCTAAAAAATATTTGCAAGGTCTGTGTTCTGAACAACTTAAACCCAAAGAAGAACTAAATAGGTACACCACGATTATGGAGTGGAAGACATAGTTAAGATGTTTATTCTCTCCAAATTGATCTCTAGATTCAACACAATTCCCATCACAATCCCACCAGGATATTTCACAGAAATTGGCAAGGTAATTCTAAAATTTTTAATGAAAAGGTAGAACAGCCAAAACAATTTTGGAAAAATAACACACAGTTGGAAGACTCACACAATCTAGTCTCAAGAATTACTATAAAGCTACAGTACACCAAGATAGCATGATACTGGATTGAGGATATATCTATAGATAATGGACCAGCATAGATTCCAGAAATAAAATCACGCATGTAGGGTCAATTAAACTCCCCCAGCTTTATTAATATATAATTGACATCTAACATTGTTTAAGATGTACAGTGTGATTATTTGATATGCATATACATTACAAAATATTTGCCAAAATAAGGTTAGTTAACATATTCTTCACTTCACATAATTACCATTTTTTATTATTGTTAAAAGAATATTCAAGATTTACTCTTAACAACTATCAAGTATACAACAGTATTTTTTACTATAGTCTCTATGCTTTCTATTAGATTCCCAGAATTTATCTTCTGATAAACGGAAATCTGCGCACTTTGACCAACATCTTATCATTTCTCTCACCCCGTAGCACACTTTCCTACTCTGTTTCTGTGAGTTCAACTTTTTTGGATTCTATAGGGTGTCCCAAAATTCACGCAAGTAATTTTGATAGAAAACACAGGTTTATAATTAAAATTGTAAAATTTTTATTGATTCATAAAGTATACAGTATAGGGTTATGTATGGAATAGCACATCGGGTAAATGGCCTCCATGGTTTTGCTGGCATATATGCAAAACCGTGGTCTTCATTGTCCCTGCTCCTGGGCCATAATTGGTACTTGGTAATGCTTATCAAATTGAAGGGATTGAAATCAAAGGGCAACATATATTAGAATCTGATTCAATAAACCAAGTAAAATTAGGCTTTTATTTTTGTTGTTGTTGCTGTCAATGCTCACGCAAATTCAAATCTTGCGTGAATTTTGGGACACCATATACATATAAGTTAGATTATACAGTATTTGTCTTTCTCTGACTTATTTCACTTAGCATAATACCCTCCAGTTTCATCAATGCTATTGCAAATGGCAAAAATCTTCTTTTTCGTGGCTGAATAATAGTTCTCAAGTGAGTGCGTGTGAGTATACATACATCACATTTTCTTCATCCATCCATCAGTGAACACTTAGGTTGTTTCCATGTCTTGCCTAGTATGAATAATGCTGCAATGAATATAGGTGCAAACATCTCTACCAAATAATAATTTCATTTCCTTCTAATAAATACCCAGAAGTGGGATTGATGGATCATATGGTGGTTCTATTTTTTGAGTACCTCCATACTGTTTTCCATTGTGGCTGTACCAATTTACATTCCTAAAAATGTACAAGGGTTCCGTTTCCCCACATCTTCACCAGCTTTTATTATCTAGTCTTCTTTATAATTGCCACTCTAACTCACTGTGGTTTAGTTTGCATCCCCCTCGTGAGTAGTCATATTGAACATCTTTTCATTAACTTTCTGTCTTCTTTGGAAAAATGTCTATTCAAGTGTTCTGCCCACTTTTTAATCAGATTGGTTATTTTTTGCTATTGAGTTATATGAGACCTTTATCTATTTTGGATATTAGCCCTTTATCAGATAAGTGATTTGCAATTACTTTTTCCCATTTTTTAGTTGTCTTTTTATTTTGTTGTTGTTTTTTGCTGCACCAAAGCTTTTTAGTTTGATGTAGTGCCATTGTTAATTTTTGCTTTGTGTGTATGTGTGTGTTTTTTTGTTGTTTGTTTTTTCTTTAATCCTCAGATGAGGATATTTTTCCATTGATCTTTAGAGAGAGTGGGAGAGAGGGAAAGACAGAAATATCCGATGTGAGAGAAATCATCGATGCTTTTTTGTTCTTGTGCTTTTGATGTCATATTAAAAAAAAAATTTACTGTCAACACCAATGGCGAGGAACTTTTTCCTTGTGTTTTCTGGGAATTTTACAGATTCACGGCTTACATTTAGGCCCTTAATATTTGTTGAGCTAATTTTTATGAGTGGTATAAGAAAAGAGTCCATTATAATTCTTTCACGTGTGAATATCCAATTTTCCTAACACCTAGCTTTGTTCCTTCTCAAGATTGCTTTGACTATTCGGAGTCTTTTATAGTTTCATATTAATTTTAGGTTACTTTTTTCTATTTCTGTGAAAAATGTCATTGAAATTTTGATAGGAATTGCATTCAATCTATAGATGGCTTTGGATAACTAGGGTCGATTAACTTTTTACGAAAATGCTAAAGCAATGAAATAAAAAAGGGATAATCTTTTAACAAATTGTGCTAGAGTAACTGGATATCCACATGACTCTTGATGGGCTTGATTCCTATTTTGTACATATACAAACATTAACTAAAAATGATGAGAGCCGAAGCTGGTTTGGCTCAGTGGATAGAGCGTCGGCCTGAGGACTGAAGGGTCCCGGGTTCGATTCCGGTCAAGGGCATGTACCTGGGTTGCGTGCACATCCCCAGTAGGAGATGTGCAGGAGGCAGCTGATCGATGTTTCTCTCTCATCGATGTTTCTGACTCTCTATTTCTCTCCCTTCCTCTCTGTAAAAAATCAATAAAATATATTTTTTTAAAAAAATGATGAGAGATATAACTGAAAACCTAAAGTTATAAAACTTCTAGAAGAAAAGCTTTGGGACCTTTAACAAGGCAGGATTTCTTATATAACACACCAAAAGCATAATCCAACAAAGAAATAAAAAGTGATAAATTAGATGTAATCAAAACTAAGACTGCTCGCCCTAGCCAGTTTGGCTCAGTGGATAAAGCCCGAGGACTGAAGGGTCACAGGTTTAATTCCGATCAAGGGCATGTACCTCGTTGCAAGCTCGATCCCAGCCTTAGTCAGGGTGCATGTGGGAGGCAACCAATCAATGTGTCTCTCTCACAATGATGTATCTCTCTCTCTCCCCCTCCCTTCTACTCTCTCTAAAAAAATCAATGGAAAAATACCCTCAGTTGAGGATTAACAACAATAACAAAAAGGTAAGACTACTCTTCTAATGACACATTTAAGGGAATGAAAATACCGTAATTTACACAAAGATGTGGATGTCCCCTAATTCATAAGTGAGTCCATATCACAGACTGAGGATGGGAGAACTCTGGTCTGTGAGTCTTGGACAGCTGTGGGCAAACTACGGCCCGCGGGCCGGATCCAGCCCGTTTGAAATGAATAAAACTAAAAAGAAAAAAGACCATACCCTTTTATGTAATGATGTTTACTTTGAATTTATATTAGTTCACACAAACACTCCATCCATGCTTTTGTTCCGGCCCTCCGGTCCAGTTTAAGAACCATTGTGGCCCTCGAGTCAAAAAGTTTGCCCACCCCTGGTCTAGGAAATACTGGCCTGAGTGAAAGTGGCTGCTGGCCAGGACTACCTACATCACAGAACCTGTTGCCCATAGCCCAAGTAAATTCTGTCAAATCCAAACTCTCCAGACTGACAAGATTTGCAGAACAGGAAAGAGCTCTGGGTTCCCAGCCAGCTGCAGTAATCTGTAGAACATCACTGTCTGTTAAGGCAGGACTGTGCCAGAGATGAAGGTAAGGTGTGACACTATTCTTACTCTGTGGAGACAGAGAACTGAGGAGATGATTAATTAATCTGCTGCCAGTAACTTTAAACAGTACCCCCCAAAAAATCATCACTAAAATATAATCAAGCCTGAAATCTTTAAGCCTCTTTTATTCCTAAGTTTTGACTCTTTTTTTTTTTTTCAGAAACACTGAATGTTTCCATATTATTTTTATCCTAGGTTTCATAATGGAACATTATTACATGTTTACAAGCAGATCATATTTTAAAAAATTACTCTCACTGCTGATACAAGGAACAGAAAGGTTCCTAGCACTTTCTGTCTGGGAAATCAACCTACATTTTTCTAGATTGGTATCTGTTTAATCTCTAAAAGATGCTGATAAAACCAATTTAGTAATATTAAATCTCTCCTGTGGCAAAAAGCACATTAGGAAAAGTACACATTTCACATATTTTCACAGGAACGGAAATACATACCTTACAAAACAAGAATAAAATATTATTCAATATAAAATATAGGTAAATGTCATAAGAATCAAGATAAATAAAATTAAACTATCAAGTACTACCTCAATAGTTCTATTAATAAGATAACTACACAAGTTTAAAAAGGAACTCTTCAAATTGAAATTACTAAACAGAACTGCAACCTTTAAGCAAATTTTAAATATTTCCCTATTAATTCCCTTATTAGCAACTTTAAGTTCATAGAAAATTAAGATGGGTCTCAGTAAACCAAAATAAATCCTGTTAGGGGTCTCTACATATCATTATTCCCATAGAATCCCTCCATTTCTCCTATCGAAGCCTTTGGCACCTTGATCCTCTGCACAGTTCTAGTTCTGTTACTCTCTGTGCAGACCTTTCAATAAGGAAACAGTCCAAATTAAGCCCTCAGTTGCTGAGCTTGAAGAGATCCAATCCAGCATTTTGGTCCTAACTTATTAAAATATAAAATGGTTTACTGTTAAGAACAACAAACAAAGTCACACTCTTAAAGTTTGTTCTCAACCATAACTCCCTATCCTTTTTGCTCCTTGGAAAATTTTGATGAATTAAAATTTCTTGTTCCAGGGAGATTGCCAGTGTGTTATTTGCTGTTATTGTCCTATAGGGCGTGTGTATGTGTATGTGTGTGTGTGTGTGTGTGTGTGTGTGTGTGTCTATAAAGGCATAATATGCAAATTGACTGGACTGCAGAAAGACCAGAGGCTATGACACACACTATCAGGAGGCAGACGCTCAATGTAGAAGTTGTCCCCAGCCTGCAGGCCCCGATTGCCTGATTGGGGCCTGCTGGCCAACCTCTCGGTCCCTCCCCCTAGCCAGCAGGCTACGATCGCCCAGTGGTGGAACGGGGAACCGGGTGGGTAGCGGCAGACATGGGCTGCGCCAGGCCAAGGCGAGGGCAAGCGAGCGGGGCCCTGATCACCATGCTGGTCACCCCACAGACAGAGGGCAACTGGTGGCAGTGGGTGGGGCCGGCGAGAGCAGGCAGGAACGGCCAACCTCTCAATTCCTTTCCGTGGCAGGCAGGCTCCAATTGCCCGATGGGGAACCAGGGTGGGTGACTATGGGGGTTGGGGTCAGCTGCCAGGGAAGATCAGCACTGATCACAGGCCAGGCCAGGGACCCTACCCATGCACAAATTTCGTGTGCCAGGCCTTTAGTCATTTAATATAGTCTTCGCTCCCCTGTGTGCATATTCTACAAAATGATTCCTGGAGCTGCAGGCATGATACATTTCAGATTCAATTTGTTGGGAAACAATATTTCACAGGTACTACTACTGAGTAAAGGGTTTACAAAGTTGGAATCTTCTAATTCTCTTTCCTTCTTCACTTATGTAAATTATATAACGAAAAAATCATTTATTTTTTGGTTACATTGAGTTCAGACAAAGAAACTTTCATTTATGAAAGCTTTATTCAACATTTATCTTTATCAATTTCATAGCATTCTTCAGAGGTGAAAAATGGGATTTTCTTGTTGTATTTGTGATCTTACGGATTTTAGATGTTTTCATCCAAATCAGTTATTAGCAGTAGTATTACTGTTCAAACTAAAAAAACTTCAGTCAGTATTAGCTTCTTCAAGCTAATGAAATTAGTTTTGAAATGAAATTAGTTTTTGTTACCTTCTTTACTTTCCGAGGTGAAAGATGTCTAGACTCCTCTAGTGCATTTCCTGCCCAGATCTGCAACCAAGGTTCCCTTTAATAGAAATACACAATATGGGCACTGGGGGTGCTCCTTACTACTGGGGTGAATAAAGCTAAGAAATATGTCCTTTCTGGATATGAGTCATACTGACTTGATACTTTCCATTTAGAATCATGAGTTCAGGATGCAATGTAATTTCATCAGTTTTATGCCTATATTTACTTACTTCCATGTGGAAAATCTGGTTTTCTCAGGAAACCAGAAAATCCTGTTAAGAATTCTCCAAGTGCATAAAGCAGAGAGGACAGAAGGGGCTTATATTCATTGAAGGAATCTCCAGGGAACATTTAATATAGATGACGCAGCTCATTTATATTCTGTAAAGGACCAGCCAAGTGTCTAGTCAATAACCGGCAAGTGAAAAATGAATACCTTCTAGCATAGCTTCCAAGTACTTGGTTATTTCTTTCAATTAATGCCTTTCCCTTTTTTCCTCTATTGGTTTCATTATTTCAACAAATTTATTTACTTTCTCATTTGTATGAATATCTGAAAACAACAGAAGAATTCTGAATTGTATGATCCAATGGGTTTTTCTCTGTAGTTTCTTCCTTAGTGAGTTGATTCTATCATTTTGAGGGAATGCAGGCAAAACTGCAACATATGATAAGTTGTTGGGACACACTCCACATTCTCATACTTCCTTAGTATTCCAGGACAAAGGACTAGACAGTCTCTGAGATATACTTGTGAATATATATGAAAACTTTTGGTAGTATTGAAAGATGAATTGGGTTTTTAGTCATAATGCAGGAAAATCGATACTTCCCATAAATTTGGATTCATGTGGAAAACTGTCCAGGGTTCATGCTGCCAGTGGCTTCATGTCCCATTCCCCTTAAGGCTCACAACCTAGATTTGAAGAGCTAACAGAGAAATTCTTTGATGATTTTCTGATTCCCTCAAGTAGCTAATACCCCATTCCCTTTCTCCTTCCACTTCTATTCCCCAATAGTAACAGAAAGAAATGAAACACGGGGCATCCAGTACATAAGCCAAAAAGCAACTTCCAGTATTACCTGATAACTCTGGATATATACACATCTTACACTCAAATATCACTCAATCCAGACTCATGTACACATGGAACTTCAGCAAATAGTGATTCATGTTCAGCATAGTCATAATCATATTGATGTGAGCTACCAGCTTCCCTGAGGACAACAGTGATTTGAATCCTCTGGTAAGTAAGAAATATGAAGATAATGGGGGAAAATGAAACACTCAATCTGGGTCTCTCTCTCAAAAACACACACACACACACAAAAAAACCCCAAAACTGAATACAGATAAATAAGAAATTATCCTATATAATAAAAGCCTAATATGCAAAGTGACCAAACAGCGAAATGACAGGTCGGCGGGGGGCAGAGCTAGCAAGCAGGTGGTGCCAGGCCAACCAAGGTGGGTGCTAGCGGACAGAGGGAGGGGACGGCGATCGGGGGAGTGACAACTGGCGGCAGCAGCAGAGGGGTAATTGGGGGGCGAGGCTGGCCACTTCGGCCGGCGCTATCCCCTGATCAGCCTGCCAGTCACCTCCCACAGAGGGAGGCCAGACTGCTGCTTAGGCCCCTGAGGGCTCCTGGACTGCGAGAGGGTGCAGGCTGGGCTGAGGGACGCCCCCCCACGTGCATGAATTTTCGTGCACTGGGCCTCTAGTGTGTATATAATGTCCAATACAGATCTGAAAAATAGTGGAGGCAGATGGAACAGGTTGATCTTTTTCTCAGGTGATCTGTTACGATGACTTTACAGAAGCTGGTACATATTTCTTTTTCCTTTCTCTAGCTGGATGATGAGCTTTGTTTGAAAAATGGAGTTCTTTTCTTCTTGTTCATAGGGGTTCCATGGCCACTCTCCTGGTCTCTTGGGTGCTCTTCCTGGGGAGGGTAAAATCTTACTAGACAGATCTTGTGAACTCCAATGAAAGAGGCCTCAGGAACCTCAGAATATAGTTTGAGTTGAGGTTGTGAATCCACGTATAACTCACAAAAATTGTTAGATAATGGAGAAAGAACTGTGCCTGTTTCCTTCAATGAGAAGGAATGAGGTTACACTTGTACAATACAGACCAAATGCAAGATGATCCTTTAGCTCTATTGATCCAAGGGCTAAAGCATAAGAGGAGGAAACAAGGGGCAGCCCCGTGGAGAAGAAACCTAGCTAGAAGCTCCATTCTTGCTACCAAATACATTCAACAACCTAAAAACTTAAAGCATACATGTTGGGTCAATATAAATATACTACTTTGAAAGTGCTTAGTAGCAACTTTCTTGTCTATATAGACCAATATGCTGCTTTTTAAAGGTAAAAAAATAAGATTTAAATCTCATTTTTTTAGTAACAGTAATCTGATGACAATTGATGTAAAAAGACTGAATTTACCTCCTCGTACAAATCCATTAGTAGCTATTGCTGAAGTAGACAATCCTGTGATAGTTGTCACAACAGTGGCCATCATTATTACAAGGACCGACAGACCTTTAGAGAAGAAGAAAAGGGACTGAGAAAACTTACACCTTATTTAACCTGCCATATTTAGAAATGCTTAGTCCAGTTATACGGTATTTTGTAATAATAACCTATTTTTATCCCATTTTAGAGAAATCAAATGAGAATTATGAGGGAAAAAAGTAACATTAAAACAATAATCTTATACAAAGGAGAACAAAGCTTAAAATGATCCCAGTTGCTTGTATTTTATGAAGTTCAGAGCCTAGACACACACACAGCTACTTTTGTTTATTCATTCTCAAATGAAACAAGTAGTATGTAACTTCACTTACCTATTCCAGCTTGACCTACAATCCATGACAATCTAATGAAGAGCATCACACCCCAAATGTTTAACATGCAACGTACCTGGGAAAGGAAAAGAGGCCAATTCACAGATTTAAAAAAGTAATCAAGTATGATACGGCAATAAATGCTAAACTAGCCAAAAGTAGAATACCTACATTTAAAACGTAGAAAGTCCTTTTAAATATAACTTTTACTCCACCCTTTTCCTTAACAGTTTTTTAAAAGAGCTTAATGAGAACTTAAATGTGAGCTAATCTACACTAATAAAAGAGAAACATGGTAATTGGCGTACGACCGCTACCCTTCCCATTGGCTAATCAGTGAGATATGCAAATTAACTGTCAGCCAAGATGGTGGCCGGCAGCCAGGCAGCTTGAAACTAACATGAGGCTTGCTTGCTTCAGTGACAGAGGAAACCAACGTTCCCCGCCTGCCGCTTTCGGCCTCTGAGCTTGCAGTTTGAAACATTGTTACAAATATAGAAGCTAAACAGAACCCCAGAAACCTGCTTTTAGCCAGCCGGGATCTCAGAGCTGGAGTTGAAACAGTGTTTAGATTATAGAACCCAAAAACCAGATACCTGCTTTCAGCAGACCAGGCCTCAGAGCTGGAGCCTAGCCTCAG